AATTTATTATAACTCTATGAGGAGAAATTTAAAATGTTGGCTATGTAAGAAATTGCCCTTTGTAGTAATTTAAGTGTGAAACATTTGCTGAGAGTCCTGAAAAATGAATGGCAGGTATGAATATTATAAAGAAAATTCAAAAGAATTAGATAAAGCACCTTCAGAGTCAATTTTGTGATTCTGGCAAAGTTACTTAACTGCATCAAACTCTTCCACTGAATAGTTTAAGTTAGAAATATATGTGAAGTACATATTCCCTGGTACATAATAAAACTCACTGCTGTTGAGTCAGATCCAACTCATAGTGACCCCTCCCTGGGTTTCAAAGACAATATCACTATGGAAGTAGATTGCCCAGTCTTCCTTCTGAGGAGTGGTTGATGGGTTTGAACCACCAGCTTTCTGGTTAGCAGTCAAATGCCTTAGGCACTACACCACCAGAGCTCCTTGGTACATAATAGACACACAAAATATTCTGGTTCTCTCCCTTTGAAGTCTTGTAAAGTACTTTCTATTTGAAACTATTTTCATCACCTCTTGAAGACTCAGCAGCTTCCAGGAGTGACACATAATCATTGATTTTAAACCAGAAACCAATATTAACGATGGTCACTGTTAACAGGGAAGTCAGAGGGAGAGTAATCCTCCCTCCAGGTAAGGCACGTTTTCTAACTTGAGGTTGATGTGCTAAATACAGCTTATCAAATGGTAATCATTCATATTTTAAATATGCTCTAAATTCAATAACTATCTGGGCAGCCCAGAATATTTTCCTTTTCAATGACACATGAAATTGGATATTTTTAAAAGATGTAATATTCATCTTGAAGTCTGACATCAAAGCTCCAGCAATTTAATTAAAAGTCTTTCAAAGGGTTGACATATTTCTTGTGCTTCTTAAGTAAACAGAGTTAATACCAAACATTCAAAATATTTGCATTCAATGTCAGAAACAGATACTATTTTCCTATGCCATTATTTCACTGAAAAGGTTTAGTTCCATGGACTGAAATGAGGGACTAATGTAAAAGATTGGCCACTTTCCCCTCCCAACTCATCTCTGGGTTTTT